AATTACATAAATTAGTTTATTATAATAATATTTCTGTTACCACGGTATTGCCACTAAACTTACAAATCATTGCAACTAACTTTGGCCACTTGGAGCTGCAATTAACGCTAAAGAGCACCTCCAACTACTCACTAAGTGTGTCTCATTGGAACAAAAGCCAAAATAAAACAAAAACTTATTCATAACTCAAAAGAGTTTTTATTAAAATAAAAAAAAAAACCCACATGGTTAATACATTAGATTAGACAATCAAGCTGAAATACAATGAAAAGACATAAATAAAACAGCAGCAGGAGAAATTTATAAAGAGATAAAAATGTTTATCATCCAGTGTTCATACTACTGTAGTCCAGTCTAGAGACTTCGTGCTGTGATCCAACTCACCACTGTCAGGGCAGCCAGACGCATTCACCAAGGGAAAAAACCAATTCAGATGACATCAGGAAGACAGTCAGTAAATGTGTTCGAACAGTTAGCAGAAACATGTTAAATCCCTTTTCCACATACCCGTAACCACAATCTGCAAAACAGAAGCTCTGATTGGAGAACTGGGCGTTTCCTGAACACGACTTCTAAAATGGCCTCAACAGTCACATGATCTCAATCCAGTAGAGCATATTTGGATATGAAAAATCTCTGAGGAGTGTTTCCAACGCCTTGTTGAACCCATGTTAAGGTGTACCCAACTGAGTGGCTGGTGAATGTGTGGGATCCATACCAACGATGGCGAACATCTGTCTTGTTAAATAAGCCTGAAAAAAGACACTGAGGCCCACACGCTGCCTTGTAGCTGATTTTTGAATCAGTACGGTGTCGTTTTAAATCACTAATCCGTAACTGGCCTGTGCTCTGACCTCCATGTGGATCACTCAAGTCTGGCACTGCATAATTTCAGGAAATTGAAATAGACTAGCATTCATATCACACCTTTGTAGTCTTACTGACCACTCATATTGCTTCAGACTACAAAGCACATTTTAAGCATGTAATTTAGAACGAATAAATCAGTCTAAAGTGCCCGTATTTGGCCTGTGGCACCCACTAAGGCACAGGGAAACCTTGTCAACTCTTTACAGACTTTTAGGCTGCCTGACAAGAGCCTATTCACAAGGCCCACCAGCAGTAACTTGCATTTAATCCACACACGGTATATTTCTTTTCCTTGTTGCCATTACCTACACTAGAGAGCAGCATTGGTCTACGTATAACAAAGGCTGAGTCCTCACAGCTCTCCAACACTGATAGTTCTGTTTGCTCAGATGGTTACATATAAACATTTTATTTTATAAATTGTGAGTCCAACAACGACACCGCTTGCTGTTAAAACCATGTTGTCTGTGTTACACCTTCCAGCGAGTAAAACAGCTCAGAAACAAAACACTACTTCTGCGTGCTATCACCATTTTATAGGGAATTAAAGCATGACAGCAGAGATTTGTTTTCATCTGCCAGCATGAACTATGACACAGATTGCTGTTGTGGGAATAGACGCTCGGGCTCTTGATAAGTGAGCACAGGCTTTTCGGTCAAGCGGGCAGACATGTATCAGCAGCCAGCAGTATCCCCTCTGATTTAGAAAGATATTTGTGAACCAGCAGAAAGGAGAAGCCTGAACAATGGGCTTTGTGGCAGAAAGCTCACCATGTCGTGAGTGATGAAAACTGGTATCTAATTTGCATAATTGCTCCATTAATGTCGCAAATGGTGTTTCACTTTATTCCTGTTACGATGCATCTATGGCTGTCCCAACAATTAGAACCTGAAAGTGCTCAAAAGTGTCCACGCAGACAAGAGAAAAAAGAAAAAAGAGGCAAAAGACGGCGCACAATGACTCAGGCACACAGAATAAGAAGCTTCTTTCAAAAACAGCAGCGTTTGTATGACAATTTCCGGCTTTTATGTTACCTCGTGCGTGACTGCATAACAACACGATAGAGTTGTGGGTAGAGTTTGATTTTTTTCTTAGTCTCTTTTTGTGGTTCAGTTGAGCTGTTTGTATATGGCACTGCTAAGAAATATGATGTTGCTCCTTATGTATACATAATGGGTTTTACAAATAGTGAGCTGAAGGTGGTGGTAGTGATCCTTTTAAAAGATCCTTTTTTTTTGTGAGTCCATTTTAAGTGTACATTCAAGCGTGCTTGCCCATATGCTGTTTACATTTATAATGGAGTTCTGTAGGAAGTCCAGTCATTTGGGTTTTATGCTTTGTGTAATGACAGCGATTCTCCTATGAGCTCTGCCTACATCTGAAGTGTTTGCACAGTAATACTAAAGTTGATTAAAAAAAAACCTCTGTCACAAAAGGGTATTAACTTCCTATTAACATCACCATCGATTGACTACAGTTTTGAATTCCACCATCAAAGCTATACTCGGTCGTACTGTTTTGGCTCAGGCCTGATCGAGTGGGTGAATTATTCATTAGATTGTTAGATATTTAAGTCATTTCTGTATTATGCTGTAAGGTCTTTCATGTGTAGTTGCATGGTAGGAGATACAAGATTAAATCAGAAACGAGCCGTTGGTTCAAGCAGAGTGCAAGCCGACCTTTTCGAAAGGGTAAATATGGCTTTAATATGGCAGAAATATTGGCTGTAGGTTCATAATAGAAGCAATATGCAAATAAAGTATTTATGAATATACAAATAGACCGAACCAACAGTGGCTGCTGCGCCCCACATTCACAGTCTTTCAGGAGGAGCTGGGAGATTATGAGTTATTTTCTCGGATGTGCATCTGAATGGAAAATGTATTCTCTCTGCATTCTCACAGTGAGCACAATGAAAGATTAAGGAAGTAAAGACAAGTGTCATATTTATTCAGATTAATTAAATAAGTAGAAATTGGGATTCAGCTGGAGAGCACTGAGAAAACAGACATAATAGAAGTTCATTGGTAGGGTAATTGCTCATTAGTTTTAATTTCCAGCCAATTTACTGCTTGTGTCGAACAGGGTGAAAAGGCTGTTTTTACTCAGTGGTTGTCTCCTCCA